CAAGAATGTCTTGAGAAAATGCAAGCCTGTGACTAACACACAGACACGCGTGTATATATATATATATATATATATATATATATATATATATACATATATATATATATATATATACACATATATATGATCAAAATAGTGATGTCTTTATTGAACCAACCAAAATGCACAAATTACAAATGATGCAAGCTTTTGAAGCTCCACTGGCTTCTTCCCTAGGCAAAGGTTGCCTGAGGAAGAAGCCAGTGGAGTTTCAAAAGCTTGGATCATGTATTTGTGCATTTTTCTTACTCCAATAAACACATCACTATTTTGTGGATTTGGGATGTTATTGTACTTTGCTGTATGTGTTTCATAATCACTCATCAATATGTGTCCTGGATGATTGCAAGGAGAGTGCTTGTTTTCTATTGTTGCATTTCTTCAAGTTGCTTTGACTTGTGGTGATCTTCAGGCAAATCTATCAGGAGGTTTTCTTTGCAAGGTTTCTTCAGAGGAGGTTTGTCATTGCCTTCCCCTGAGCATGTGATCCTGAGACTGAAAGCATGTGATCTCCCAGGCTCACTCAGTGAGTTTCATGTCCAAGTGGGGAATTGAACCCTGGCTCCAGGTTCATAGTCCAACACTCAAATCACTGCACCATGCTGGCAATGTGAGTATACTTCTTTGTATTCTTAAAAGTCTCTGTTTCAGCTTCAGTTGAAAAGAAGAAAATCAACAGTAAATTCTACCTGGCAGATATCTATCAATGATCATGACACTATCATATTCTTATACAACAAATCCAGTCTGTAAACCCAGAGGCTCCCATTCTGGAAGTTTTACTTTCTCTTCATCAACTTTCTTCTCTCACTATCTTCCCCACAACTCTTCACTGCACTATCCTATAGAGGCCCCATATGGATGCTTGACCTAATTCCAAAAAAGAATCTTCATTAGGCTTCTCAAATGTTCACCCCTTAAGCTTGTAGTTAATTTATCTGTGGGTACCCAACTATATGATTTTTGGCAAACTTCAAAGTCTTCCAGATACAAACAGAGAACCTTTAAAGAAGGTTGCAACTAAGCAATTAAGCGTCTTATCAGGTTGAGTCATTTTTTCCTAACATTAAAATCAGAGGGGAGGGAGAATTTGTGAAGACTCAAAAAGCACTTCTGACACATCTGTTTTGGATCCCAGAAGGATGCAGTTGATCACTGTTTCTGTGTACATATGAGTAACTCACAGAAAATATTAAACATCATTATTATGATCATGTTATTAATTTAATTATCATCATTTAATTAATTTATATTCTGCTTTTCCCTCATATAAGCATCACATGGGTTCTATTTCTGCTAGACTGGGTCTACAGTAACCAACATTCCTTTTCAGTTATCTTCAGTTAAACTCCTGCACTCCTGTCTGTCCTTGGCTTTCAATCCACCATAAGCATTTGAAGAAGTAGACTAAAGTCTACAAAAGTTTATGCTACAAACCTCCTTTTCCCCCAGTTAGTCTTAAAGGTGCTACAAAATCTCTATACATATTACTTCTACAGACTAACACAGTTATATGTTTAAATTCTACCACTATGGAAAGCACCAAATCTAGCTGAATGAAATGGAAATCCATCAACCTCTTCAAGAAACTTGCCCAGATACGGACAGATATCTTCTTTGTCAACAAGTGCAAACAATGGGATGTTGTTCCTAAGGATCTATGTGTGGGGAGCCCTTTGCAAACTATGTATCACATAGAGCTCATGGGTTCTACTCATAATGACTTGTTCTGCAGCAGCCAACATTCCTTTTCAGGTTTCTTCAGTTAAACTCCTGCACTCCTGTCTACGCCTGGCTTCCACTCCACCATAAGCATCTGAGAAGTACTCTAAAGTCTATGAAAGCTCTTTTTTCCCCACTTAGGGCTGATACAGATGACCCATTTGGGGTGGCTCTTAGCTGCCTCGAGGAGTGGCGGATCAGGGCCATGGCAATCATGCACCACAGCCCTGATCCTCCTTTTTGCCGCCCCAAAAAGAGCGGCAAAATTCTGCTCCTTTTTGGGGTGACAAAAGGCTGCCCTTAGAGCCAGTGCCATGGCTCTTTTTGCACCCTTTTGGCACAGTGTGTGTGCATGCTGTACCAGGAGGGTGTCAGGATGGCATTGGAGTGGAGTCGGGGTGGCCGGCGGGTGGCTGCTATGTCCCTACTCCACCCCCAGGCAGGTCATTTGTGCCAGTCTGCGTCAACTCTTAGTCTCAAAGGTGCTACAAAATCTCTCTACACATTAATTCTACAGACTAACACGGCTGTATCTTTAAATAAAATGATTGTTAATTTATAATCATTCATAACATCTTTAGTCTTTGCCAATATTATTTTGTTGTTGTGTGCCTTCAGTTATTTCTGACTTATGTCGACCGTACAGCCAAGAAAACCAATCATGAAATTTTATTGGCAAGATTTGTTCAGAGGTGGTTTGTCATTGCCTTCCCCTGAGGCTGAGAGTGTGTGTCTTGGAAGAGGCCAACCAAGAATATCTACTTTGCAGAATTAATGCAGTTTGACATCACTTTAACTAACATGGCTCCATGCTATGGATTTCTGGGATTTAGAATTTTGTGAGATTTTCTGCCTTCTCTGTCTGAGTGCGCTGGTGCCAAAACAAAATACAAATCCCAGGATTCCATAGCATCCCAAGCCTCCCTATATGCAACCACAGCCACAGTATATTGTGAGTTATATTCATTTAAATGCAAAGTATTTGGGAGAGTTAAAGAATAAGGGGAATATTAATAAAAATGTCTGCATTCTTCAAATCTCCTCAAAGGCATGACTAGGGGTAGTATCAAGATTAGCACCTGAACTTCAAAATATACCACCAGTTTAATTATCACCAGCTGTCTTTAGCCTTTTCTCAGTATACAAACCCATGGTGTACATTTTTATTTTATTGTTTTCTCTTTTTAAAATGCAAGCTCTGCTTTCTTGCTATAAAGGAAAATAAATGATGAATGTAACAGCCATGAATAAAGTTTGCTTTACATTTCAGTCGGGTTTATTTTATGTCTGCAATGCTCTCTGACACTCTTATCTCTTTGGGATTAGAGATCTTCTATCGAAAGCTGAAGGAATATTTATCTTTCTCAGCAGTTTTAGAAGATGGAGATAGAAGGAGCAGTTTGGGTGTTTTTCTGTGTTGATTATGGCCTTGAATAATGTAGATCCTGCTTTCATCTCACTTGAAGAATCTGATTGAGGCAGTAGGGGGGCTCTAGATTTCAGAACTTTGCATACACTGAGCTTATCATTGGGATTCTGTCTATGCATCCAGAGGAAAATGGGTACATAAAAATAGGCTCTGGGATAAGATGTATTTCAAAGTGCTTATGTAAATGCCACCACCTGCATGGGAGTGATATTTGAGCTTCTGAAATTTGCATAAGGGAGGAATGCAAAATGGAAAAATGGAGGAAGTCAGTGAAAGTGAACAATCTAATCTATTTTGTTAGGTACCACTTTCTTTTAAAGAGAGCATAGTGGCTTGAGTGTTGGCCTATGACTCTGGAGACCAGGGCTTGATTCACCACTCTACCATGAAACCCACTGGATAACCATGGGCATGTCACATGTTCTCAGCCCCAGGGGAAGACAATGGCCAACCTCCTCTGAACAATAAATCTGCCAAGAAAACCCTGTGACAGGTTCCTCTTATGGTTGCCATAAGTCAGAAATGATTTCAGAAACGATTTGAAGGCACACAACTACAACATCAACCAATGACACTTGGTGGAACATTCTGTACTCTTCATTGCACATGCACATTTGGTTTTGCATTTGCATTTGCCAGGTTACTTGAAGGCACATAAAAACAACAAAACACTTTCTTTTAGATATCTTGGCTAAGATCCTGCACCAAATTTGTAGTCACAATTTCAAAGCCATGCTCTAGCTCTTCATCTACCCATGAAACCCACCTTCAAAGCCAGTCAGCCATCTAGAGTGATGGAGGTTTATGTTGCTGCTGAACAGGGTGCTACAGGATGGTGTGACCAGACCCTTCCTGCCAGGTAGAAAGTCTGCGATGGTTCTGACAGGTTCCTGCAGGTGTCCCTATATCTGTTCCTCAAGGCATAGCTTGGTGGTGAGAAGAGACTGGTCACATCACCATGCATTGTCCTACTTGCCAGCAGAAGTGATCTCCATTAGTCTAGAAGGAGTCCTGGTGGCACCGTGGTTAAATCCCTGTACTGCAGCCACTCACTCACAAACCATAAGGTTGCAAGTTCAATACCAGCCAGTGCTCGGGCTTGACTCAGGCTTGCATCCTTCCAAAGTCACTAAAATGAGTACCCAACTTGTTGAGGGCAATTTGCTTACAGTTGTAAACTGCTTAGAGACTGCATAGCATGGTATGAAGTGGTATATATATGAAGCTGCTATTGCTATTGCTATTGCTATTGCTACTGCTATTGCTACTGCTATTGCTATTGCTAAAGGATGTCTTGCTTTCATGGTGGATTTCAGGTTCCTTTGTTGTTGTGGCCAAGAATCTCAAGTGAGAATATAATAGTGACAATGTCCTAAGTCTAACTTATGGCTTCATTATGGCATCATAATATGATGTCAAATGTTGTGATCAAAGTCCATATTGAAAAGTATTCCATGCCTAGAGGCTATAGGAATACTTGGGGAGATAGTTAAGGTGTTTTTTGTTTGTTTGTTTTTTGCAGGGGAGTACAAAAGAGATGTGGGCTAAAGATATACTGTAATGTAAATTTGCCATACTTTTAAAATGCATTTCTGTGAAGCTAATGTCTATAAATTTCACATGCATGCGTAGTTAAAGCAGTCTTCTAACCATTAAACAAGCCAATTGTTTATCTTTTGTACAATAGTGTCCTCTGGCTAAATTTCATATTATGGGAATATAATTTAAAAGAAAATTAAAAAAAAAATGTCAATTTGCATATGCCGAAGATTTGTACACTACAAAATGGACATATTGTTGCAATGTATTTGACAGCATGGTGTAGTGGTTTGAGCATTGGACTAGGACTATGGGCACCAGGGTTCAAATCCTGGTCCTGTCATATAAAGCCACTGGGTGAACTTGGGCAAGTCACACTCTTTCAGCCTAAGAGGATGGCAATGGTAAACCCCCTCTGAAGAAATTTACCATGAAAACCCCATGATAGATCCACCCTTGAGTCACCAGATGTTGGAAACAACTTGAAGACACAGAACAACATTGTAGCAATACATTCCACGGGAAAGAAGTAACTTCTAACACACTCATATTGTCTTATAGTAAATAAAATGATTCAAACTACCAATGGTTCATCTGGATACTAGAAAAGTTATATTTTTGTCATGATTCCTGTATGATGCAATTGCACCAGCACTTATTGGCAGAGCAGGCTAAAGATTTTGTAAAACTACAAATCCCAGGATTCCTCAGGCTGGAGCTACAGCACTTAAAGTGGTGTCAAACTGTGAAAAGTGATTGCACTTCTTCACACTTTGGAGAAAGAATAATTATTATCTATTGAGGGAAAAGTTGATGTCTCAATTAATTCAAAGTGATTAATTCTGGAATATTCAGCTTGGATTAATTCAGAGATAAACTTTTTTTGGATTAATTGATCCTCAATTAATCCAAGCTGAGCAGGGAAAAGCTTGGCAATCTCTAAAATTAATATTTGTATTTTTTTAATGTTTTAATTAGATACACTGAACTAGTTCCAAACCCCAGGGGCTGGGAATCAGATCACACATTTTTTTAAAAAAATATATACTGCATAGTTGGAGTATTATCTGTGCTATTCACCTTCCTATGTCAGTGCCTGGTGAGAAATCACCTCCTGTTCTATGTAAAAAACATTTATGCAGCAAAAGGAGATAAAGATTATTCTAGTAGACATTCAAATTCACTTGAGGACTTGGCGCTCAAGACCTCTGGGTTAGTAAATCTATAAAGGGAGCCCTGATGTCATATGCTTTTAGTATAAGCCACCACTGATGCACATTTTTTCCTGTTAAAATAAACACTTTTGTGCTCCGTTTGAAAGTTCCCAGCGATTACTGATGCAGTGATCTGATTTAAATTCAGAGAGCTTCTGAAGAACTTGGCAGGGTGAAAAGCCCTAAGATCTATTCAAGTAGCATATATGATGTCTTTAGAAGGGAGGAGAAATGAGTTCATCCTAATAATAATAAAAAAGTCCTTCCTCAGTGTAACTGTAGCTGATCATAAAGATAAGGTTGAATATAAGATTGCCCAATCAACTAAAATCATTATTTTCCAAGGTCTTCAGAATATGGTAGGTAAAACCAAGTGACCAGTTTAAGCATCTAGGCATACATGAAGTTGTTCTTGCCCCATCTAACTCTGTATTGCTATGGAAGGGGAGGTGTAGCAAGGAAATGACTACAACACACTCAATTGGAAGGAAAAGGCCACAACTTTATTGAATACCGCTGACAGGTAGGGCTGGCCCGAAATGCATGAGGACTGGGTCTGGCATTAGCCATCCTGCCTGTTGATCAATGAACCAAGTTGCCTGTCACAGCCAAGCTTTGAGATGACAGACGGGGTAACCAGTTAATCATATGTTCGCATCTCAAACCCTTGTCACCGGGGGATGCTGACTGGGAGTTGCCCTCACAATGGCAACACCCAATACTTCCAGCACCCCCAGGTTCCCAATGGACTCTTGATCCAGTGCTCCACAGCACAGGAAACTATGCCTACTAGATCCGAGACCCCTACTGTTACCAGCATAAAGATGTCACAGCATGTCCCTATCCCCAACAAATAGAGGGAGGGAGGGAGGGTAGATCTGAGCAGAACTCCAATCTCTCTGTCACGAGGCCCTTAAATAAACCCACCAAACAATTGTAGCCTGGGAGGCCCAGAGTTCCTGTGCCCTCTGGCCTCCTGACCAATCACAGCAGCCCATTCCTTGAAGCCAGCCAATGGGCTTCCAGTGCCTGCTGGAAAACATAGTCCCAAGTCAGAACCCCGCCCCCCAGGCCACCAATCTCAGACTCCAAAACCTGCCCCAGTGGCCATTGGAAGAGTGACAGGGCTCAAAAAACAGGCTGCAATGGTTTCCCCCACACCAACCGGGCTCTCAAGAAGCTACAAATCCTGGAATTCCATCACACTGAGCCATGACTGTTAATGTGATGTTAAACTGCTTTATTTATGTAGTGCAGAAAAGGTCAGGGTTTAGATAACCATCTCTCAGAGATGGTGCAGCTTTATTCTCCATGAAACATAGGTTGGTTGGAAGCTTCTTCCTTCTCAGTGATTCAGGGGGGTTGCAGACTGCCAGAAATAGTGCAAATTGAGTCCACTTTTAGGGATAGGGTTAGGGTTAGGGAATCATGGGAACTGTATTTTATTGTGGCACCAGAGCTCTCTGACAGAGAAGACTCAATGTCTCAGGAAAAAAAAAAAACAATTCCCATGATTCCCTAGCACTAACCCTAACCCTAAAAGTGGACTCAATTTGCACTATTTCTGGCAGTCTGCAACCCCCCTCAGTCATTTTATATTGGGCTGCACAGAAGATAGCTGTGTATGTACAACCAGACATCTTGCCTTTGGGAACAAGCTCCCACCTGCATGGAGTTGGGACCATGTATTAGGATCCTTTTCAGAGTCCTCAGAAAAGTTCTACTCAGATCTTCATCCAGATGTCCTACTAACACAAGTAGGCAGTAAACATCTCAGAAGGAATCTAGATTTTTCACCTTTTGAGATCTTTCTGCACTTGTGCAATGCCATGTTTGCTCTGAAGACTATCCATTATTATTAAAACCTGTCAGCAATGCAGAGCTGAAAAATGAAGATATGAGATGGAATTTCTCTCTAGTATAATTGGCAGTTGTAATACACAAGACTGAAGCAAAAGTGAAGCTTCTGGGGATGGGGAAAAAAAAAGTCCAGTTACTTGGGATTCATCATGGAGATTTTTGTTTTTATTTGTCATGCTTTTGTTCAAACACCTGCCAGTGAACTAAGCAGCTCTGGTTGACTTCTGACTTAAAATAACTATCAATTTAACTCCTTTTTCATTTCTGTGTGTGAGAGAGAGAAAAAACTTCTTTTATTTTATAATTGTACCAAAAGACAAGCAAGTGTGGCTGTCGACAAGCTTCCCCAATAGCATTTACAATAGTCTGAGCAAACACTTCAAAGCATAATAAGAGAAAGATCCAACTTTCCCCAGAACTAAATGTTCTGCCAAAAAAAATAAATACCGACGACAACCAAGGCATAGCGGTAATCAATTCCTTTTGCATGGAACCATGACTACAAATTAAGGCTCACTGGAAAATGTTCACCTGTAGGTGGACATTTGACTTTGATAATTCAGAGAGAGGAAACAAAAGGAAATAGGTAAATCCAGATACAAGATGGACTTGACAGTTATATCAGACTTTGGGGAAGTTGTGTCTTTTAAACTGGGGTCTATATAGGATAGAAGAGTCAGGGGCTGCATCTGCACTGCAAAAATAATGCAGTTTGACACCACTTTAATTGCCATGGCTCAATGATATGGAATTCTGGAATTTGTAGTTTTGCAAGATATTTAGGCTTCTCTATGAGAGAGCTCTGGTGCCACAACAAACTACAAATCTCGGCATTCCATGGATAGAGCCATGACAGTCCAACCACTGTGAAATTACATTATTTTTGCAGTGCAGATGCAACCTGGGAGTTTTCATTTTTTAAAAAAGGAATTTTCCAAGTTCTGGTCCTATGTCCAGCTCTGGGAGATGCCTCTTGACAAGCGCACAGACCAGGGATGAGCAAAAGGTGCCCCCTGGACTATATATGGACTTTTTAAGAGCCCAGGTAAGTGTTGTTATATCTGGAAACCACGAGAGGAGGAAACTATGATAGTCCCAAGGCTTACACAGGGTCACAACTGCAAACAAAACTCTGTCCTAGGAAATCCATGGTCCAAAGGGGAATAACAGTCTTGGGCCTAATTAAAAGCTGAGAAGGCAGTTAGTAAAAATATTATTCCCAGGAACATATGGATCAGCAAAGATCTAGAAAGCCAAAGATACCTGACAAGCGGTTGCTCCTCTACAACAGAAAGGCTTTGGCTGAGCTAATTTATAGCCAATGATAAATCAACTCAACTGGCCTCATTACCACAATGCTCTGTATTTAAAATAGAGCAGGGCATATCCTGACACTTTTCTTGGAGTTTTGATTTATGACACTCTGCAGGATGAAGTGCCACTTGATCCTCTTCCAGAGTGTAGCTTCTGCCTGGGATGGACCAAGTTTTGCTTCTATCACAGCCAAAACAAGACTTCCAGCCTCCTTTAACTCTATCTGGGCCTGTTACCTTGGCACATCTCTTCCCTTCCTTCATCCAAACAGCCTCCTCCAGATACGACATAATGCCTCCAAGGTCCCCACTCTATTCCTCCCACCCACTAGACCTTTGAATCCACTTATGCACTCCCTGAAGCCCCCAATTTATTTTGACCTAAGAATGTCAAGTCTACCTCTAGGATACATTATTGTCAATTTCACTGCCTCTCCCACAAATTCTTTTAGTCTTCTATAGTTCTCCCTCACCCAAAAAATTAGTGACCATCTGGAAAATTCCAGATTTCAGAGACAGTTTCCATGGGCTGGAAATAGGGGAGTAAAGCATACAATCAATCATACTACATAACGCGTTTGTATGTCTATTTTTAGAATATTGTATGGGGGTGTTGGGGACTTTGTCTGCAATTCTTTAGCTTCCTATATATGCCTATACAATGATCCCATCTTATTCATAGGGGATCTGTTTAGGACCCCCCCCCATTGGAAATATTGCTAATATTCAAATCCCCATTGTTTTCAATGGGCATACATTCTTGTGTGTGGCCCTACACGTGCTCTATGGACATGTACACCATTTTATCCCTTCCTTCTTGTTGGTCCACAAAGGACCAAGACTAAGAACTTCAAGTGTGTAAATGGGAGATGAGGGGGAAGAGAGACTGTATTAGGATGAGCCATATGTCACCATTACTCTGGATTTACCATACAGTCTCTAGAGCCCCCCCCTCC